TGAGGCTCCCTGCCTTATACCCACTGAGGCTCCCTGCCTTATACCCACTGAGGCTCCATGCCTTATACCCACTGAGGCTCCCTGCCTTATACCCACTGAGACTCCCTGCCTTATTCCCACTGAGACTCCCTGCCTTATACCCACTGAGACTCCCTGCCTTATACCCACTGAGGCTCCATGCCTTATACCTACTGAGGCTCCCAACCCAATACCCACTGAGGCTCCCTGCCTTATACCCACTGAGGCTCCCTGCCTTATACCCACTGAGGCTCCCTGCCATATATCCGCTCACCCTCCATTTCTTATATATTCCAAGCCTCTCTTCCTTATATATGAGTCTCCTTACCTTATTTCCAACCTTATCCCTACCTCATCTCCAGTGAACCTTCCTTATATTCGCTGTGCCTGGTACCTGGCTTACCTATCCAGAACAACATCATACATCAGCCACTCTACAAATATTCATAATTCACTATGTTGTGATAATGTTGTGATAATGATGTGATAATGTTGTGATAATGTTGTGATAATGTTGTGATAATGTGGTGATAATGTTGTGATAATTGTATTTTTAACTACAGTAATTTAAGTGACTTAATAGTCTATCGTATTACAGTTATGTTCATTACTTCCCGTTATATTTCAATCTCATTATGGATAGGACATGATATCTCTATCCTAGGAGCCTTCGAAGTTAGGCTTGGTGTTTTGTCCACTCCCGGGCCGTTCCTTCCCGCCGTCCCATCCAAAATCCTTATCCTGACCTCTTCTAAATGCTATATAGTCATAATGACTTAGGGCTTTCCCCCTGATCATTCTCTTCCCTTCCCGGGTCAAGTTCTCAACTCGTTACATACACGAGGGTATAGTTTCCCCTTCATTGTATACTTCCTCTTTCTCTCCTCTCATAGCGTCCCATTTTCATCACCTTACACTTGCAGATGTTGAAATCCAGAAACCATTTATTGGAACAAATCTGCAGCTGGTCTAAGTTACCTTGGAGTTCCGTATAATCCTAATGAGTCTCGCCTCGTAAGTTTTGAACCGTCTGCAGATCTCGCAGACGAGGTATTGCAAACCCTATAGTTACGACACGAACACAAAGGAGGAAATAGCGTGGTAATATCACTGTTTCTTGAGGAGTGTTGTTTCCTACCTTCTCCAAGTAACCTCTCTGACGTCTTCTGACATGTGCCCTTTTACTCGTGTTAAAAATGTTGTTCATACTTCCCCGCGCCCCCTTCCTCTCACGCTGGGGAAGACCTCTCAGAATTGCAACTCTGTCAACTGAGTTTTGGAAGACATGAAATGAGCAGTCTGCTCATTTATCTGTGTGTGTGTGTGTGTGTGTGTGTGTGTGTGTGTGTGTGTGTGTGTGTGTGTGTGTGTGTGTGTGTGTGTGTGTGTGTGTTTACTCACGTAATTATGCTTGTTGGGTAGAGCTTCGGCTCTTTGGTCCCACCTATCAATTGTCAATCAACTGGTGTACAGGTTCCTGAGCCGTCTGGGCTCTATCATATCTACAGTTGAAACTGTGTATGTAGTCTGGCACCATTACCTCACTGCCTAATGCATTAAATTGCCTCCAGGGTACAGCCCACCATAGAGTTCAGCCCACCGCTGAGTACAGCCCATCATAGAGTACAGGCAAACCATAGAGTACAGCCCACCATAGAGTACAGCCCACCATAGAGTACAGGCCACCGTTGAGTACAGCCCACCATAGAGTACAGCCCACCGTTGAGTACAGCCCACCATAGAGTACAGCCCACCGTTGAGTACAGCCCACCATAGAGTACAGGCAAACCATAGAGTACAACCCACCATATAGTACAGCCCACCATAGAGTACAGCCCACCATAGAGTACAGCCCACCATAGAGTACAGGCCACCGTTGAGTACAGCCCACCATAGAGTACAGCCCACCGTAGAGTACAGCCCACCGTAGAGTACAGCTAGCCCACCATAGAGTACAGCCCACCATAGAGTACAGCCCACCATAGAGTACAGCCCACCATAGAGTACAGACCACCATAGAGCACAACCCACCGTAGAGTACAGCCCACCATAGAGCACAACCCACCATAGAGTACAGACCACCATAGAGTACAGACCACCATAGAGTACAGACCACCATAGAGCACAACCCACCATAGAGCACACACCACCATAGAGTACACACCACCATAGAGTACACACCACCATAGAGCACACACCACCATAGAGTACACACCACCATAGAGTACACACCACCATAGAGCACAACCCACCATAGAGTACACACCACCATAGAGTACAGACCACCATAGAGCACAACCCACCATAGAGTACAGACCACCATAGAGCACAACCCACCATAGAGCACAACCCACCATAGAGTACACACCACCATAGAGTACACACCACCATAGAGTACACACCACCATAGAGTACAGCCCACCATAGAGTACAGCCCACCATAGAGTACAGACCACCATAGAGCACAACCCACCGTAGAGTACAGTCCACCATAGAGCACAACCCACCATAGAGTACACACCACCATAGAGTACAGACCACCATAGAGCACAACCCACCATAGAGTACAGACCACCATAGAGCACAACCCACCATAGAGCACAACCCACCATAGAGTACACACCACCATAGAGTACACACCACCATAGAGTACACACCACCATAGAGTACAGCCCACCATAGAGTACAGCCCACCATAGAGTACAGACCACCATAGAGCACAACCCACCGTAGAGTACAGCCCACCATAGAGCACAACCCACCATAGAGTACAGACCACCATAGAGTACAGACCACCATAGAGCACAACCCACCATAGAGCACAACCCACCATAGAGTACACACCATCATAGAGCACACACCACCATAGAGTACACACCACCATAGAGCACAATCCACCATAGAGTACACACCACCATAGAGCACAACCCACCATAGAGTACAGCCCACCATAGAGCACACACCATCATAGAGCACACACCACCATAGAGTACACACCACCATAGAGTACAACCCACCATAGAGTACAACCCACCATAGAGTACAACCCATCATAGAGCACAACCCATCATAGAGCACAACCCACCATAACTCTCACCACTATTCATAACATGCTCAGCCTGAGTACTAATGTGTTGCACAATATTCAGATCAAACACAGAGTGAGCCCTCAACACTCCCCAGGGGGGGGGGAGGAGGGGGAGAATAGAGCTCCTTAATGACCACACCCCCAACGGAACTACCTCGCCCGGACCTACCCCGTTACTAAGAGCGCTCTTGACAGCGCTATTAGTAACGAGTAATTGACAGTTTTCGAGTGTGTACGTTGTTGAACATGTCATCCCACCGGTGACGGCATGTCATGCACGCGTCATGTCATGTTTATTGACCGTCTGGTAAGGCGGCCGACACTGCCTTTGTGGAGACAACGGGTCGATACCAGCATCGTGAGTGAAGATATGATGAATCTGAGAGGTTTTGGTTATTAAAAGCGACTAACCCCGTCTTCCCCAACCAGTATTCCCCCCCTCCTTGCCTAGCCCCACCCACCCCCCTCCATCAATTCCCCTCCTCCTTCGTTAAATGATTACCTGAGGGCAAGATAATTGACCCTGTGTAGACGGGTCCAGCAGGTGAAGCTGCGGCACTCCCTCAATTTTTTTTAATTTTTTTAACTCGTGTAATGCGGCATTTATAGAGCTTTCCTGTTCCTCCTGCATGGGTTAAGTCTTGTTTTAGTGTTCACTGGAACACGACCAAACAGTCACTTTACAACCAGGTCCTAATTTACTGATTGAATTCGCTAATGGATAATGTAAAGGTGGACACCAATACACACACACACACACTTTTTAAGTGTGTGTGTGTGTGTGTGTGTGTGTGTGTGTGTGTGTGTGTGTGTGTGTGTGTGTGTGTGTGTGCAGGAGGGTGAACACGAGATCACTGTGTGTGAGTGAACACCAGATAACAATGTTTGAAGTTATTTGACAAAGGGTTGGGTAAGGGGAGAGGGATTGAAGGCGGAAAATTTGAATATTCAGGATGGTGTAAAAGTGTTGAGGGGAAGATAAAGTTTAGTGGCTTGTCCAGTGTGTGTTGTTGTGTGTGTTGGTCAACACCAGACCCCTGTGTGTGTGTGTGTGTGTGTGTGTGTGTGTGTGTGTGTGTGTGTGTGTGTGTGTGTGTGTGTGTGTGCGTGTGTGTGTGTGTATGTGTGGGTGTGTGTGTGTGTGTGGTAGTGGTTGTAGATTAGTTGTAGTTGTGTGATTAGTAGTGGTTGTAGAAATCAGAAAATCCTGATTTCCTGATTTCTTCATAGCGCCAAGTGTTGCCCTGCACCAAGGGTGTTTGTATCCTGCATTTCCTTCGCGACAGGTCGTGGTACAGGCGGGTACTGGAGATGCAGCTGGACTACACAGCCTTGTACATGTGTAGTTACATGCTCCTGATGACCTACGGAATCTCCTCAGTTTAAGTATTTGTTACCACTGTTCTTGCTTTCTGTATTCAATCCTTTACCTGAATCTTGATTCTTATCTCTTTAATCTCGAGGCAGCAGCAGGTTGAAGGACGGGGGAGAGGCAGGAACCATTGACCGGTATTTACAGCATGTCCACCTCGCTCACTCTCATCACCCTAATATCAATGACTACTTTTACGAAGGAACATATTTTTTCCCCAGTGTAAAACTGCTGAGAAAAGACTTCCCACGTGATACGAAACTGAGCCCCAAGTCAGTCTTTTGACGCTGGTAAAATAGTCCTGGAAGCCTCAGGTTTTATAATGAGTCTGACCTCTGACCCCCTGGCTGGCACTGTGGTCACGGGGGGCCTGGTGGTGGGCTCTAGATCTGTCGCTATACGAGTGTGAAGTAATGAACTTTGGGTGAAAATGATATTTATGTGATTAGAAAATGTTGGGACGTGACGAGTGGTTGTAGTAGTGGTTGTAGTAGTGGTTGTAGTAGTGGTTGTAGTGGTGGTTGTACTGGTGGTTGTAGTAGTGGTTGTAGTAGTGGTTGTAGTGGTGGTTGTAGTAGTGGTTGTAGTGGTGGTTGTAGTGGTGGTTGTAGTGGTGGTTGTACTGGTGGTTATAGTGGTGGTTGTAGTAGTGGTTGTAGTAGTGGTTGTAGTAGTGGTTGTAGTGGTGGTTGTAGTAGTGGTTGTAGTGGTGGTTGTACTGGTGGTTATAGTGGTGGTTGTAGTAGTGGTTGTACTGGTGGTTATAGTGGTGGTTGTAGTGGTGGTTGTAGTAGTGGTTGTAGTAGTGGTTGTACTGGTGGTTATAGTGGTGGTTGTAGTAGTGGTTGTAGTGGTGGTTGTAGTGGTGGTTGTAGTGGTGGTTGTAGTGGTGGTTGTAGTGGTGGTTGTAGTGGTGGTTGTACTGGTGGTTTTAGTGGTGGTTGTAGTGGTGGTTGTAGTGGTGGTTGTACTGGTGGTTATAGTGGTGGTTGTAGTAGTGGTTGTAGTGGTGGTTGTAGTGGTGGTTGTAGTGGTGGTTGTACTGGTGGTTATAGTGGTGGTTGTAGTAGTGGTTGTAGTGGTGGTTGTACTGGTGGTTATAGTGGTGGTTGTAGTGGTGGTTGTAGTAGTGGTTGTAGTAGTGGTTGTACTGGTGGTTATAGTGGTGGTTGTAGTAGTGGTTGTAGTGGTGGTTGTAGTGGTGGTTGTAGTGGTGGTTGTAGTGGTGGTTGTAGTGGTGGTTGTAGTGGTGGTTGTAGTAGTGGTTGTACTGGTGGTTATAGTGGTGGTTGTAGTGGTGGTTGTAGTGGTGGTTGTACTGGTGGTTATAGTGGTGGTTGTAGTGGTGGTTGTAGTAGTGGTTGTAGTAGTGGTTGTAGTGGTGGTTGTAGTAGTGGTTGTAGTGGTGGTTGTAGTGGTGGTTGTAGTGGTGGTTGTAGTGGTGGTTGTAGTAGTGGTTATAGTGGTGGTTGTAGTGGTGGTTGTAGTGGTGGTTGTAGTGGTGGTTGTAGGGGTGGTTGTAGTGGTGGTTGTAGTGGTGGTTGTACTGGTGGTTATAGTGGTGGTTGTAGTAGTGGTTGTAGTAGTGGTTGTAGTAGTGGTTATAGTGGTGGTTGTAGTAGTGGTTGTACTGGTGGTTATAGTGGTGGTTGTAGTGGTGGTTGTAGTGGTGGTTGTAGTGGTGGTTGTAGTGGTGGTTGTAGTGGTGGTTGTAGTGGTGGTTGTAGTGGTGGTTGTAGTAGTGGTTGTAGTGGTGGTTGTAGTGGTGGTTGTAGTAGTGGTTGTAGTGGTGGTTGTAGTGGTGGTTGTAGTAGTGGTTGTAGTGGTGGTTGTAGTGGTGGTTGTAGTAGTGGTTGTAGTGGTGGTTGTAGTAGTGGTTGTAGTAGTGGTTGTAGTGGTGGTTGTAGTAGTGGTTGTAGTAGTGGGTGTAGCAGTGGGTGTAGCAGTGGGTGTAGTGGTGGTTGTAGTGGTGGTTGTAGTAGTGGTTGTAGTAGTGGTTGTAGTAGTGGTTGTAGTAGTGGTTGTAGCAGTGGTTGTAGTGGTGGTTGTAGTAGTGGTTGTAGTTGTGGTTGTAGTAGTGGTTGTAGTGGTGGTTGTAGTAGTGGTTGTAGCAGTGGTTGTAGTGGTGGTTGTAGCAGTGGTTGTAGTGGTGGTTGTAGTAGTGGTTGTAGTTGTGGTTGTAGTAGTGGTTGTAGTAGTGGTTGTAGCAGTGGTTGTAGTAGTGGTTGTAGTGGTGGTTGTAGCAGTGGTTGTAGTGGTGGTTGTAGCAGTAGTTGTAGCAGTGGTTGTAGTGGTGGTTGTAGTGGTGGTTGTAGCAGTGGGTGTAGCAGTAGTTGTAGCAGTGGGTGTAGCAGTGTGTGTAGCAGTGGTTGTAGCAGTGGTTGTAGCAGTGGTTGTAGCAGTGGGTGTAGCAGTGGTTGTAGCAGTGGGTGTAGCAGTGTGTGTAGCAGTGGTTGTAGCAGTGGTTGTAGCAGTGGTTGTAGCAGTGGTTGTAGCAGTGGTTGTAGCAGTGGGTGTAGCAGTGGGTGTAGCAGTGGTTGTAGCAGTGGGTGTAGCAGTGGGTGTAGCAGTGGTTGTAGTGGTGGTTGTAGTGGTGGTTGTAGTGGTGGTTGTAGTGGTGGTTGTAGCAGTGGGTGTAGCAGTGGTTGTAGCAGTGGGTGTAGCAGTGTGTGTAGCAGTGGTTGTAGCAGTGGTTGTAGCAGTGGTTGTAGCAGTGGGTGTAGCAGTGGTTGTAGCAGTGGGTGTAGCAGTGGGTGTAGCAGTGGTTGAAGCAGTGGTTGTAGCAGTGGGGATAGCAGTGGGTGTAGCAGTGGGTGTAGCAGTGGGTGTAGCAGTGGGTGTAGCAGTGGTTGTAGCAGTGGTTGTAGCAGTGGGGATAGCAGTGGGTGTAGCAGTGGGTGTAGCAGTGGGTGTAGCAGTGGGTGTAGCAGTGGTTGTAGCAGTGGTTGTAGCAGTGGGTGTAGCAGTGGGTGTAGCAGTGGTTGTAGCAGTGGTTGTAGCAGTGGGTGTAGCAGTGGGTGTAGCAGTGGTTGAAGCAGTGGTTGTAGCAGTGGGGATAGCAGTGGGTGTAGCAGTGGGTGTAGCAGTGGGTGTAGCAGTGGTTGTAGCAGTGGGTGTAGCAGTGGGTGTAGCAGTGGTTGTAGCAGTGGTTGTAGCAGTGGTTGTAGCAGTGGTTGTAGCAGTGTGTGTAGCAGTGGGTGTAGCAGTGGGTGTAGCAGTGGTTGTAGCAGTGGGTGTAGCAGTGGTTGTAGCAGTGGTTGTAGCAGTGGTTGTAGCAGTGTGTGTAGCAGTGGGTGTAGCAGTGGGTGTAGCAGTGGGTGTAGCAGTGGGTGTAGCAGTGAGTGTAGCAGTGGGTGTAGCAGTGGGTGTAGCAGTGGTTGTAGCAGTGGTTGTAGCAGTGGGTGTAGCAGTGGGTGTAGCAGTGGTTGTAGCAGTGGTTGTAGCAGTGGGTGTAGCAGTGGGTGTAGCAGTGGTTGTAGCAGTGGGTGTAGCAGTGGGTGTAGCAGTGGTTGTAGCAGTGGTTGTAGCAGTGGATGTAGCAGTGGGTGTAGCAGTGGGTGTAGCAGTGGGTGTAGCAGTGAGTGTAGCAGTGAGTGTAGCAGTGGGTGTAGCAGTGGGTGTAGCAGTGGTTGTAGCAGTGGGTGTAGCAGTGGTTGTAGCAGTGGTTGTAGCAGTGGGTGTAGCAACTCCTCCTCCTGCAGTTAGTTCATGACTTATTCTGAACGGCATGGCCTCCCCTCTCCCCCCCCCCCCCACACACACATACACACACCCTTCATAAAAACAAAAGAACTATTATGCTGAGGACTCATTGGTTAATATCCACCAATCATTGTACGGCTATACACACTGAGGACCCGTTCATCAGTGTCCACCAGGCAGTGTAGCCACCATACACGCTGCCTCAATTCATCAACACTCATATCTCGCCATACTTTTTTTTTTTACTTGTTATTGAATTGAAAACAATGACAGCAGATTGAGTCAAAACAAGTGAAGTTCCACAACAGCGCCGGCCGGAGGGGTCACAGGAGCCTATTGATCTGTTAGGTCAAAATCCCGTCATGATGTCACTTCTGATGACCTCATCGACGCCCGCTGATTGGTCCACTGATAACCAATCCCGATGATTGTTTCAGTTATATCGAACCGCGCTGATTGGCTAAGTAACAGGCAAGTAATGTTCTTGTGGAAGATTCAGCTACTGGGAACCCAAAAGTTCCAAGCAGCACGGGCTATGGTGAGCCAGTAGTGGACTTACCTGGCACACGAGATGTAAAAAGCAAACAAGTCGATTGATTCTCATATAACCATCCAAGAGGCGGCTGGTCAGGTGTTCACATGTTACTCTGGGTTAATATGTGCTCAGACCCCCCATTATGTGGAGCCAAGTGTTCACTTGAGTGGTGAAGTATGTGAGGGGGAGTGTCGGAGCTCCGCGCCACGCCCGCTCTCCTAATTAAAGCTGTGAGTTAGCCAATTACATCCACTAATTCCCCTCTACCCTCACCGGCGTCCCCTCTCTTTACAAAGAATTTCAATAAAAGCGTCCACAATGAGAGGCTGCAGGGGGCGGGCTTCCCCCTGTATCACCCTTCACCATAACATTGTCCAGCTCCCCTTGTTAGTGGCCCAGCAATATTGCTCCACCACTGTCACCTGAGCTCACCCCTCACCTCTCCCCTCGTTCTACTCTCCCCCCACCCCTTACCCTCTCACTCTACACCACTCAATATCTCTCTCACTCACTCTCTCTCACTCACTCTGGGGTCCTGGTGCTGATGGCACTGCTGTTGTCTCGACTTGTGGCACTGCGGCGACCGTCTATATTGTGAGCAAGTTTTACGTGTCGTGGCTCTCGTGACGTGTGGCACTCTTGTTGCTGCCTTACTGCAGGGTCTCCGCCTGGTGTGGCTTCTGCCTGGCCTTCCTTGGGTGTTGACGCGTCTCCCCCTGGTGCTGCTCTAGTGTAAGCTGGTGCTGCCGTTCTTGTTTCTACTTCTGTTGCGTTGAGTCTATTCCTGTCGTTTATCTTCTTTTTTCTTATCGTATTCATTGCGTTTTCGAGCTTTCTATCGTATCACCTATTCTTCGGTGGCTCGCCCAGTGTGTGTGCCTCTCCTCCCATCTACGTCCTCCTTCCTTCCTCTCTCTTCCTTCCCTTCTCCTCCTTCCCCTCTCCTCCTTCCCCTCTCCCCCTTCCCCTCTCCCCCTTCCCCTCTCCCCCTTCCCCTCTCCCCCTTCCCCTCTCCCCCTTCCCCTCTCCTCCTTCCCCTCTCCCCCAGCAGAACACAGGAGTGTGGGCCAGAACCACCAGGTGTCGGCAAGAGCGGTCGCCCGAGGCAAGGGGTAAATAACCTCTCTATATCACCTTCTTATATTGTCGACGCCGGAGCCTTGAGCCATGCAACAGTCGTATTACTGAACCGTCTTAGAACTCCATCACATAAACTAGAGAGAGGCATCAGGGAAGCTGAGAGGCAGTTCTAAACCACAATGCTGAGGAAGATATAATGGCCAACCAAAGCTGCTCTATATAGCTTTATGAGAAAAGCAATATTAAGACACCACTTGACGAAGTTAAAGAGACAAGATATACTGCACATTAACGTGATATATCACTGAACAAGTCAGTAGGAACCCTTGAAGAGGATTGGAACCTGCATAGTGGGTACTCCTAAGCACACGCCTTAAACCACTAGGCCACGATATGGCCAAAAGTAAGGCAACCTGGGTTTCAACTGAGTCCTTTAGGGTATCTTGAGGCATCTTCTGATACCTGAGGAGCCTCAGGTGTGGTGGTTATGGTACCAGTGCTCTTGGTTGGGAGACCCCTGGAGGCCTGGGATCGAACCCTCGAAGGGTTCATAGTGATGTGTGTGTTTGCAGACTATTCAACCCATGAATTCAGCGTAGACGAACGAGGAGAAATAACCCCAACGTTTCAATCAGTAGCATTTTTTTGTTTTTGGAGGGGGGGGGGGTGTTTTAAAAATCATTCAATATAAGCATTTCTTCTGTCTTATAGACAGGGATAGATCGAGATCTCTCCTCGTACATTCAGTGCGGCGCGCTGTTGAGTTTGTAGCCACACAATGGCACATTAATGACACTATGTAAAAGACACATCGAACACTTTATGTAGGGCATACGTAAATCTGTGTATCTATGTATTTACGTATGTAGGTTAGCTTAGCATTTTAAAAGCACCGAATCCCCTTCTGTGGTTGATTGTTCAATAAACTCCTTGAACTATATGTTTAACACTTCTCTAACCCTGTCCATGGAGGACAGAAGAAAATGTATATATGCTGGTTAGCATTGTAAATGTGTGGCCATGTTTGTGGTAGAAAATAATAATAAAAAAAATGGTATTTAAGTCCTGTTACAATGGCAAATGTTAACAAATACATGTTTCCGTCTGTGGTACAGTGTCAGGTGGAGAGAGCAGCAGCAGCGGGGTGTAGTGAAACACTCAACCACAGTCAGTCTCCGTGGTGTAGTGGTAAGACACTCGCCTGGCGTTCCGCGAGCGCTATGTCATGGGTTCGTGTCCTGGCCGGGGAGGATTTACTGGGCGCAATTCCTTAACTGTAGCCTCTGTTTAACGCAACAGTAAAATGTGTACTTGGATGAAAAAACGATTCTTCGCGGCAGGGGATCGTATTCCAGGGACCATAGGATTAAGGACTTGCCCGAAACGCTACGCGTACTAGTGGCTGTACAAGAATGTAACAACTCTTGTATATATCTCAAAGATGGGGATATTTTATTTATATACACAAGAGTTCTTACAATCTTGTACAGCCACTAGCACGCATAGCGTTTCCGGCAGGTCCTTAATCCTAATTTTCCCCGGAGTACGACTCGCTAAATCGTTTAACAACCAGGTACCCGTTTATTCACTGGTCAATCCTCTCCCGGCCAAGATACGAACCCTGGCCAAATCGCTCGCGAAGCGCCTGGTGAGTGTTTTACCACTGCGCCACGGGGGACTACAATTAAACTGCAGTCCCCCGTGGGCTGCAGGTGGAAAATTAGAGTGCTTTTACAAGCTCAGATTATAATTACATCACATATTTTACACATTTGCAGCATTACAAAGACATTTTAGTTGCACGTCCAGTACATCATCAAGTGTTCCAGTAATCACATTATATTTACAGAGCTTAGCATATCTCAACTCAGTGAGGTGGGGGGAGGGGAGAGGGGGGCCGAAAGTCAATTAATATGGGACATTCTTTAATATAATGTTCAAGAGAATGAATTTTCTCTCTTTTCACAAAGTTTGATACATGGTGTACTCGACACTTTTAAAAATTTTGACACATAGTGTATTCGACACTTTCACAAAGTTGACACGTGGTGTATTCGACACTTTCACAAAGTTGATACACGGTGTATTCGACACTTTCACGAAGTTGACACATGGTGTATTGGACACTTTCACAAAGTTGACACATGGTGTATTCGACACTTTCACAAAGTTGACACATGGTGTATTGGACACTTTCACAAAGTTGACACATGGTGTATTCGACACTTTCACAAAGTTTGACACACATAGTGTATTCGACACTCTCACAAAGTTCACACATGGTGTATTCGACACTTTCACAAAGTTTGACATACATAGTGTATTCGACACTCTCCCAAAGTTGACACATGGTGTATTCGACACTTTCACAAAGTTTGACACACATAGTGTATTCGACACTCTCACAAAGTTGACACATGGTGTATTCGACACTTTCACAAAGTCTGACACTTGGTGTAATGGACACCTGAGTTTTGGGACAGCCTTGAGACGCGTCAGTATCCCTGGCGAACGCTCACCACTAAAACATTCTAACATTATGCGATATATAACACATGACGAGTTTGAATACCAAAGCGATTGAGATTGGCTGGGGTGTTCCTCGCGCCGTATAGCATTGTCAAAACAATAAACTGGGAAGAATTGGATTCGGTTGGCTTGGTATTGGCCTCATAGGCCTACCAAGCGCTGGAGAGTTACTGAGAGGTCGTCCCACCAGACTATAATTAGTACACCAGCAAGTGTACTTTATTTAGTCCCGGAAGTTGTTCAATACTAAGGTAAAGTTGGTGTGTGTGTGTGTGTGTGTGTGTGTGTGTGTGTGTGTGTGTGTGTTGTGTGTTGTGTGTGTGTGTGTGTGTGTGTGTGTGTGTGTGTGTGTGTGTGTGTGTGTGGAAGCAGTGTGTGTGTGTGTGTGTGTGTGTGTGGGTGTGTGTGTGTGTGTGTGTGTGGCGTGTGTGTGTGTGTGTGTGTGTGTGTGTGTCCGCTCGGCCACCGTGTGTGTGTGTGTGTGTGTGTGTGTGTGTGTTGTGTGTGTGTGTGTGTGTGTGTGTGTGTGTGTGTGTGTGTGTGTGTGTGTGTGTGTGGTGAATGACCTGTGTCGATCAGGCATTAGACGACCACTGTCCTCCTCCTTCCTCCTCTCCTTCCTCCTCCTCCTCCTCCTCCTCCTCCTCCTCCTCCTCCTCCTCCTCCTACGACAAGCCAGCTACACGAACAAAAAAATAAAGTTGCAGATTAAATTTGTGAAGTTTTTAAATTGGCGGGAAGGAGCGAGAGGACAGATTTTTGTCAACTTTTCCCTGTCATAAAATATATTTCTAAACACGTAATTCACGAGAGATCTTGGTGGGTGGTGTGAGAACTGACTGGTGATATGTGTGGGCGGTGGGCGGTGGGCGGTGGGCGGTGGGCGGAGAGCGGTGGGAGGTGGGCGGTGGGCGGAGGGCGGAGGGTGGAGGGGCTGGGTGGTGGTGGTGGTGGTGAGTGGGTGGGTGTGGAAACTGAGAATGGGAGGGAAGGGGGGGGTGTGGAGTGGGAGTGGGAATTATCACGGGAAAGCGTCAAACCACTAAGACTATGGCCGACCGGCACCTTTGGGAGCCGGTCGGCCGAGCGGGCAGCACACTGGGCTAGTGATCCTGTGGTCCCGGGTTCGATCCCGGACGCCGGCGAGAAACAATGGGCAGAGTTTCTTTCACCCTATGCCCCTGTTACCTAGCAGTAAAATAGGGACCTGGGTGTTAGTCAGCTGTCACGAGCTGCTTCCTGGGGGTGGAGGCCTGGTCGAGGACCGGGCCGCGGGGACACCAAAGCCCCGAAATCTTCCCAAGATAACCTCAAGATAACCTATATAGCACTTAGAAGTGGCATGGATTTAGGATGGGACGTGGGGAAGGAATGGTGCCCAACCACTTGGACGGTCGGGGATTGAACGCCGACCTGCATGAAGCAAGACCGTCGCTCTACCTTCCTGCCCAAGAGACTTGGGGTTTCAGACTAAGGGTCTGCATCTGGACTATTCCCCACATACTTCATGAATGCCACAATCAGATTAATCCCCAAGCCAGGTAAAACCCCCCAACCCAAACTGAAAATTACAGGCCAATTTCCCGCCTCGAAGTTCCAGGTAAAATATTCGAAAAAAATTATCACTCAGAGACTTGTGAAGTATATGGAGGAGGAAGGGAAGTATAACACCAGGCAGCATGGGTTTAGAACCCGCAGAGGGGCCCATACAGCTATAGCCCTGATCTACCAGCATATAGCCAAAGCCATGTCGAAAAAAGATCAGTGTAATATAGTACTTAGAGACATTTCGAAAGCCTTCGACAAAATTTGGCACACAGGCTTAAAATATAAGATATCTGAGCTAGGACTCTCACAGAGATTTACTGCTACTCTCTGCAGCTTTATAAACAACAAAACTTTTAGGCTCAATATCGGCAGCTACTTGGGTGACGTAATAGAACTGAAAGGTGGAGTACCGCAAGGAAGCTGCCTCTCCCCCACTCTATTCAACATGTATACAGCTGACCTACCCCAACCCCAACATGGAGAATACATCACATACGCTGATTTCACCCAAATAATATGCCAAACAGGACCCTCAAAGCCGCTACTAGCCGACAAGACCAAGACAGCAATTGAATTCACAAACAGAAGAGAAGCAATGGAAAATTAGCACAAACAACCAAAAGTTCCAGATAACACATTGCGAAAACAAACCCGGACCCCAT